AGGATCTCCTTATGCTTTGCGTTACCAGCTGTCAGGCGTGATGCTGTATATGCTGATACTCTGCTGTGTTAGCTTGCTTTGGCACTGTTGGCAGCACTCTGCTGTCATGCTCAATTGAGACAGAAAGGACCGTTTCTTACTGGGAAATTAATTCATGAAAAATGACTTATTTTTGTGCTAGAATTGTTTTGAAAGGAATTAAACATACAAAGAAATGTGTATTACAATAAATTAGCCTTTAATTTTATAAAGGTTCAAGTGTCAGATATCAAAGAACTAAACAGTGAGGCCAGTTAATTTTGTGAAATTATAACCTCAAATTGCTCATGTGATTTGAGCATAAATTTCATCAGCTGAGATTTTTTTGTTTGTTTTGTATTTGTGGGCTTTTTTTTCTGTACATAGCTGGATTTGAGCACAACAGAATACACCCCAGGCATCTGGAGATGATCTGTGGGAGGAGAGTAGTAACCAATTTACTTGCATTCTTGTATGAAAGGAAGAGGCAAGGTCAGGAGGATTGTAATGAAGATGATCTTTCTCCTGACCTGTTCTCTTACTCCACCCTGCAAGAGAGGAGGAAGTAGAACATCCTCTTCTGTGTTGACCTTTTTTACCTCTCCTGTTACGGCCTTCAGTGTCCCTTATGCTTTCTAGAAGAGGATTGCCTCTTGCAGGTAATCCTGCCATTCATGGAGGCCCAGTGTTAGAGTGCTACGAGCTTTGGGCTCATGTAAAATGAAGTATTGTTTTTTTGGCAAATTTCTTTCTCCTTGGTGAACAAAAGCCTTTGTGGCTTTTTTTTTTGATCCACTTGCAAAACTGAACAAGCTAACCAGTCTAGACAGAATATGAGGCTGCTTCTGTCCTTGTAAATTAGATAGTCAGACTGACTTGCAGGCATGTATGATGTTTAATTGTTACCATGGTCCCGGATATTATTTTGGCTCATGCCGGCCAGCACTTTCCTGGACAATGTTTGTACATAAGATATGTGCTGTGAGTACCTAGTTTTGGATGCAGCCCTCACTTTGGGGCAGAGAATTCAGCCATGTAGTTGTGAGCTATGTCATGTTGCTTATCTTACTGGCAGTAAGCTGTCTCTGTTCTTATTGAAAAGACTATTCAAAAAATGACCTCTGTGCCCCCTTGCAGGGGATTTAAGGCTCCAGAAGCTGTTTCTGGCCTTTCCTTGGGACAGACAAATCTTGACTTTACTCCTGGAAACCAGAGCTTTCAGGATTGATATTGCTTCCTTTCATACGCAGTGTTTTATCCTCTGTGCTGCTTATAGGATAGCAATTTCTTGTTGCATCATCCAGTTTTCACCTTTATTAGAAGGAGTGACTGTACAACAGGTTTTGTTGGCAAAATAAAACAAGCAAAAAGACATGTAGAGGAAGTTGCCTTATACCTGTTACACAAATATTTAGACCAGTAAGCTGGTGCTTGCTCTGAGAAATGAAAACGGGATCTATGGAGCCTCATAATAATAATTCTCTTCAGAGGAGTTTATACTGCTTGTATCTGCTAAAATGAGTACTGAAAGTGCTATGACTGACATTGTTACACAGCTAGAACCTAGCATGCTGGACATTGTGAAGCACTTCAAAGCATTTTCCAAATGGACTGTAATAAGTACTAAAAACTGAGGACTGGAAGTTACCTCTCAATTTGTCACAGATATCATCACTTGATAGGAAAATTGGAAAGGTTATTGATACACTGCTTTATTAAACCTGCTAGCTCAAGGTAATGACTTGCTCCAGGTAGAGAATATAGTTGGGTAAAATTTGGTAAGCTTTTTTTTTTTTTTTTTGGTCAAGAGCTTTGAGGTCCCATGCTTTAATTTATGCAGTTTCATATAAAAGACTGAGATACATGCTCATCTGCTTGAGGAGGCTTATCTGCAGGAGAGAAGAATCAAAACTCTGTTTTGTACACTTGACAGCTAGTACGTCACTGAGTATGTATACAAGAACTTCATGGCATTTAAGCAAAGATTTTGAGAGAACAGTTGAGAACTTTTTCTCCAAGCTAGCTGTGTGCATGTGTTTATGTATGTTATTGTGGGGGTATATATATGTAGACATGTGTATGTGTATATACTATAATGTGCACCTGTGTAATCTATATCATACAGTGTATATATAAAATATAGTGTAGTTCAATTGACTTGATTTATTTTTTCAGAAAGTAAAATAAGAAATAAAGTCTTTCTTAATGTTGAAAGGCTCTTATCAGCCTAATTTCAATTTAAATCTAATTACTTGAAAATACATGTTTATATCATTTTCCCCTCTCTATTTTTCTAGTAAAGCTTCCTAAGGCTCAAGATTATCTTGGTAATTTTCTCCATCTTTTTAATCCTTTGACATTTGAAGAAAGGTCTTTTTTCCTGCATTTGGCAAGGAGGGTGTTTGAATATGCAAGGGAATGCTGACTGTCTAGACAGAAAACATTGCCAAATGTACGAAGTCCTTGATAGAACAGACAAGCCTTTTTTTTTTTTTCTCCCAGCTAACATTCAGTTTACAGTAATTTTAGCTGTTACTGGCAGCTTCAAGTATTTAATTTTGGGATTTGAGATACTGGTTTCTTTTTTCCAGATTTGCAGTCTTTACAGATTTGCAGGTTTTCCAGTCTGTAAAGACTGTAAGAGATAAGTGTTCCAGGTAATTGATGAATATGTTGTTCTGTGTACAGCGGTTACATATGTACAACTATGGCTAAGAAATGGGTTTATGTAGCTGGTATACACAAATCAAGGTCTTGTGTCAGCTGTCAGGCTCCCAGGAAAACACAAGTCATCTCAAATTCACACTGACTGTGATATGTTTGCTAGTCAGTACTCCGCAAATGGCAGAAAGTAGAAAGGAAACGAGTGGAAAGGTTCCTTCTGCACACTGCGGTGAAGTTGCTGAGCTCACTGTAAGTTTTGACGATTGTGTTGGTGTCCTGGCTTCAGCAGTGCATTTCATGCTGCAAGTACAAATTCATCATTGCCGTAATAGTCCAAAATCCCTTTCACTAAACCAGCTTCAGTAGTTCAGAGCTTGCTTTCTTAATTTTTCTTAAGCACATTAAATGGTTCTAGACGGGCTGTCAGTATGATCTTTGAATTATTGCCATATTTCTTTCTTTCTTTCTCCATTTTAAAATTTCTTATACAGTAAGACTTTCATACTCTGTTCATAGCAAATTTCTGGGTATTTAGGCTTTTATTTGGAGCTTAACAGCATAGCAAACCACGACAGAAATTCACAAATGGAAGAGATGTGCATTTATTGTCCTTTCTTTTACCACAGCCTGTTGACTCTCAGTGTTGACTAAGCCTATAGTTTCTGTCTCTCACCTGGCAGCTGGTCTGCAGGTAAATTAACCCAGCAAATGTGTATCATTTTTAGACTAGGGTGGGTATGAGGTAGTAATTTGAAACTGGGAAATAATGTCTTGGCCATAGTTCTTGTCTGAAAGAAATTCTTCAGCTTAGGGAAAGGCCTTGTTTTCGTAGGAATCTTTTTCTGTCCTTCATGTCCTGTCATATTACTCAAATTCCCGTATTCAGAACTCTGCTGAAACACTGAGGAATGGCTGATGAAAACCTTGAATGATACTTAGAAAATGTAGCATATGCTGTGCAGTTTCAGTAGATGAAAGCAGTATGCTTGAAGGGTTTAAAACATGCTTTCGTATTAATTTACTATCATTTAAATATAATGTCCTGGGTTCAGCAGTAGCTGTCATGGTTCTCCTTCTTGGTAGCTGGTGCAGTGCAGTGTTTTAACTTTTGGCCTGGGAACAGAGCTGATAACAATGATGTTTTGGTTTGGCCAAGGACTTTGTGAGCCTCATGCTCTGCCAGGGAGGAGGGGAAGCCAGGAGGAAGCAGAGACAGGACACCTGACCCAAACTGACCAAAGAGGTATTCCATACCACAGCATGTCATGCCCAGGATGTAACTGGGAGTTAGCCGGAAGGGCTGGGAGACTGCAGGGTTGGAAGAGGTATGGGTCAGAGCTTGGTCGGGCTGGGGGGGCCGAGTTATCAGTTGGCTGGTGGTGAGATGTTGTATTCTCTTCCCTTGTTATTTCCTTTATCATTATTATCATTGGTGGTAGCAGTAGTGATTTGTGTTATACCTTAGTTACTAAACTGTTCTTATCTCAACCCATGGGAGTTGCATTCTTTTCGATTCTCCTCTCTGTCCCTCTGGGGGCAGGGGGAGGGCAAGAAGGGGGAGAAGTGAGTGAACGAGTTACCTGACTGGGTTTAAACCACGACATAAGAACTAACAATTCAGAATCTGTAAGAGACTGCTTATAGATTCTGAATTGTTAGTTGCAACTACAGTTTATTTGGAGTTTAAAGGGATATGATGCTTTTTCTGTGTGAAGTATTCTACTCTTCTTGTTCACGCTGGTTCTTTCGCTTTTTTGAAACCAGTAGTACACACTACTGTGCTGGCAAATGCATGAATGTTTGTGGTGTTGAACTTCTATTACAGCTGAATGCTGATGTGTACTTGCAGCAAACACAGGAAATGGTGAAGAATGCCTCTTACTTTTTGAGTTGGTCATATTTGAATTATGTTGGCATGATTGAGTGAAGGAGCTTGTATTGCTAACAGTGCTGAATCTGCTCTGTAAATACAGAAGGCTTTTTAGTGTGGGGATTTCAATCCAGTTTTCACCAGCACTTTGTTCACCTAAAACAAAATGTGTAAGTTTTCTTAGGTTTCTGCTGGTAAATCTGTGGTTAATGTGCGTCAGTCAGGAAAAACTCCACAGTTACGCACATTTCTATTTACTAAAAATGTTTTCTTTCATTTAACTTTGTAAGAAATTAAGGTCTTGAAATGCACTTTTTCTTCGTCTTAAGCAAAATATTATCCTAGGTACTATATTTTTTACAGTAATGTACCTGAAACTCTTAAATTTCAGTAATTTAACTTGGTAAATAGTGTACTAACTTCCACGTTAACTTCCATTTCTGCCCAGGCTTCCAAAGGATGAGTTGGCAACAGAACCACTAAAATATGCTGAACAGCTTCCTGTAGCTCAGATAATACACCAGGTATGTCTTTCTATTTTCAGTATTTTTTTTGTTTTTGAGAATGAACAGCATCTGTAATACTTAAGCTGCTTTTGTAGGTCACACAGAATCAATGTCCTCATGCTGTAAGTATGTAAAAAAACCATACTGTTGCTCAGTTGACAACTGCTAGATTGTAAAAGTCTTATTCTGAACATAGCAATGAAAAGATGTTTGGTGTATAACATAGTTAACACTTCAGAGGTTGCTGTTAAAATTGCTGTCTACTGATAGGAAAAAAAATAGATTAATTTCTCTGAGTTTGCATTTTGACCTAAATCATATTCCCATTCCTGAAAAAGCACCAAAGTATAGAGTCATTTTTGTAGAATAATTGTCATGACAAGTTCAGTAGGGAAAACAGTCTCCCCTCCTAATGCAGTTCTGAATTAGCACTATTTTTGACTATAGTAGTGTCATCCTTTCTGCTTTCCACAGGTTTTTTTGGTTTTGTTTTAAAAAAAAACCACAAAAACAAACAAAACAAACCCCAGAGATTGTGATTTTGCCTAGATTGTGCCTTCTAACTGTTTTAAAAACATTATTCTAACTTTATTTAAAAACGTAGACTAGTTAGGGTTGGAAAGGACCTTAAAGATCATTAGGTAAACAAATGAGGGGTGATCTGAGCTGAGATTGAATAGAAGGCTACAGTTTTTATTATAGCTTATCTCTTTTGACTCAATTTATGGCAAGGAGGAGGAAGAAATCTTTTCTATGTGAAAGGTTCTATGTTCTGTTCTTGCCTTTTTCTCAAAGTTCAAGGTGTGATTCTCAATCCATCTTTCTGGTAGGTTAGAAGCCCAGTCTGCATTCACAGGTCTTCTCATTTTTTTGCTATTAGCCACAATGGGCTCTGCCTATTTTGTGAAAACACTCATAGCCAAATAACATACGTAAAATTTGCGATACACTTTAGAACAAGTGTGTTGAGACTTAGCGACTCTCCTCTAGGTGATGCTTTAAAGGAAGCAAAAAGATGTACTCTGTTGCTGTCAGAAAAAAAAAAAAAACCAAAACCCCAAAAAACCAGCAACAGCAAAAAAAAAAAAAAAAAAGTCGGATTACCATTTTCTTAATGGTACTTTGACAGTGTGATATCTTTCAGGTAATCTGGTGTACTCTGACAAATTGACTTGTAAGTTGGGGAAGATAATGAAAGTTCATCATGGGAGGCAAAATGGTGCTGTTCTCACCGCCTTGAGATAAAGAAGACTTCCAACCTGAAAACTGGGACTTGGTGCAATAAGGCAGATAGACCATGTTTGATAAAGCTGTAGTTTCAGATGGAGCTGGTTTTGAATGCTTGAAGATCAGAGACAAATAAAAGTCCACCAAATGTCAAAGTTGCTTACAATATCCTTTAAGTATTAATTATTATTGTAGAGCTTTCTGAATAACTTTGTCATGGATGTTATTAAGCATTTGAGTTGCACACTGCAGGCGGTGCTGGTTCTGCCTTAAAGGAAACATAAGCTTTATTTTAAAACTTTAAAATGTACAAGTCTTTTCTGTGAGATGTAAACACAAGGGATTAAAAAACTTCTGGCTGAAATCTGCACCACTGGGAAGAATCTCTGATGTGTTCAGAACATGGAAGATTGGAAATCAGGGCCAGTTTGTATGTCAGGAACTCCCTGGTGTTGTCAGAGCTTCAAATGACCCAAGAGCCTGCAAATGTCACATTTAAAATTCTGTCTTCATGCCTGACTCTTAGCATAAATGAATTAAACAGCAGAGCAGGCAGCCAGTCAATATGTTCTTAACAGTGAGAGTGAGCAATGAAACAGTTTGAGGGTTGTTTGGAATCAGTAAATAGAAAGTGCACATATTGGCTCACCTAGAGGAAAATCTCAAATAGGAAACAGAATTAACCTTTAAGATGGCCGACCAGACGAAATGTCATAGTAATATTTTTACTACATTAGGTGGGTAATAACCACAGAGGGTTCATTTGGCTACTGTGTGTTACACTGCAATAGAATATTGCACTGTGGAAAGGCAAAAGCCTGTTTTTTGTGTACTCTTACCTGTTTACTATAACAGATTTACTGGCAGTACAGAGCCGTGGTCTGCTCAGAGCTGCAGAACAGACCCAAAAGAACTGCAAACAACCCTGATGTAGAGAAGTAGAATAAAATGTTCATTGTTTAGCTGTCATGTCAAGAAGTCAGACATCATTCCCTGGGTTTGAATGGTGTACATGCCTTTTCAAGCCTTTAGGAACTGTAATCAGCTAAATATACTCTGCACTGGTGTCCTGGTGAATTACTGCAGCATATGTTATAATGTGTTGTTTCTGAGGGACCTGTGACAATTGGGATGTGCAGTGAGTGCAAGGCCCATGTTAAGTTTATAAGAACAAATATTTTTTAATTTAAGAAAAAAGAAAATATGAGTAAAAGCAGTGAATACTATTTGTGGAATTATGGTGCTCCATCCAAATAAATAATCACTGTGTTTAAGTGTGGGCCTTGTTGTTGGTTCTGTATCAGATTAAGATTTCTGTCATGTTAACCCGTGTTTTGTTTACCTATGGGCAGAAATAAGAACAAATATACATTAGAATTTCACAGTGGTAGACAGGCATCCTAAATCAGTATAATGCCAAAGTACATTTTAGTTGTATTTGTTAGCCAATGTGGCTGCTAATTCTATCCAAATTTCACTGTACATGTGTTCTCCTGAACACCAAGTCTACATGTTTTCCTTGGGTGTTTACATGTGATTTCTGACATTCTTTTTGGTACTTCATCTCTGATATTTTAAAAGCTTTTATACTAATGAACAGAAATGCCCTTCTGGTTTTTGTTTCAAAAAACACAACTCCCTCCCAAAAAAAGGAGGGGGGGTGGGGGGGTGGGGTGGGGTGTGTGTGGAGGGACTACTTTAATTCTGCACTTGTCTTTAGCTGAAAGAGATCAGGTGAAAGAACGGGGAAAAGATTGTTTTCATTTATCATAAAGGATATTCATTTCTGGCCTTCCAGTTCAGCAGGGTGTTTTAATAAAAGTACCTAACTTCAGTGGCAGTGCTCGTGCTCTGAATGTCACTATGTGTTAACATATTTTGCCAATCTTGGGGTTTAGGATATTGAAAGGACTTAAACTGTTACAGGTGTCTTACTGATTGAAGAATGTTTTATTGATGAAAGGCACATTTCAGTGGATAAATGCCAGATCTCCTGATGTTGTTATAATTGAAAACAAAATGAAACAGCAAATTGAGATCATGATCAACTTGCATGCTTGAGTCGATTGTAAAATATTAAGCAGATAAAGTGACGTGCTGTTAAAACAGGATGGCATTTCAGGAAACTGACTTCCAGCCTGTGGTAGCAATTGCAGAATTTACCTAAATTTGGCATGGCTTGCAGTTGCACAGTTACTTAAAAATTGAGAGTTCCTAAGTATTTTCTTACGTAGAGGAATACATGGGGGAGTGTTGGATATAATTTCTAATTAAATTAGATTGAGTTTCCTTTTGGAGGTAGGTCTTAAGCTTGTTGGATTTGTAGAGGTTTTTAACCGGTGTGTTCCTGTAGCCTCTCCGTAGAAGCCTCATTGGAAAATGCCTTGTGTAATCTCAGGAGATTATTACTGGGAGATGATGCTAACCTGCTAAATGAATGTGTCTCTCTCTTCCAGAAGCTAGTTGAGCAACTCGTGTGAGCACCATTAGCTTTCCTGAGTTTAGGCTCAGAGACATTAGGGAGCTGCCACATCCACTCCACTTTGAGGGTGTTGAGTGCAGACCACAATAAGGGAAATTAAATAAGAAATTTAAGAAAGCAGGTGGGAGGGGGATCTCCGGAATTACAAATGCCCAGGCTGATGGCCATCAGAGATGACTGTAAAGTTGTAGCTCTGTATTAAGTCTTTCAAGGTCTTTGTTTCTGTAATTTCTGTGCTTCTGTGTCGAGTTTGCCCCACCCCAAGAAAATCCTTTTGCTTTGAAGATCAGTTTTTATTCATTCTCAGGACCTTGTTCTCGCATAGTAGAGGGGTGTTAGTTTATTGCATTTGTTGATATTATTCTGTTTTCATGCTGATTTAATTGAGAGAGGTTTTCTTAAGCAGCATTTGGCAGAAACTGTTGAAACAGTATTAAGAAAATAGAACAAACTGTTTTATAGATTTTCTGAAGTATTTTTGTTTATCTGTATCACGACAATTTTAGTCTCAGACTTAAATATTTTCACAAACATTAAAGTATTTTTATGTGGCTTACAATCTTTGTGAGATGCTCAATATGAAAATCATGTGCTCGTACAGCCTTGAAAGCATAAATTTAAAATTTAGGCATTGCACTGGTGCCTTGCCCATTGCCCCATAGCTGTCCTTTCTCAGCTATATTTTCAGGCAGTCAGGGAACTACTGCAGTCAGTGATGTTATTCAGGACCTTCATATGTAAGCTGGTAGTGCAGACAAACAAAAGGTTGTTTCTCTCTTATTCAGAAATTAAGTAGCATGTTAGCCTAATGAAGCCTCATGAGCAAAGTCTTAACATTCCTGAAATAGAGCATATTTCTGAGTGCAGCATTTTTGTAAAAGATTTAAACAGCAATTTTTTTTTATTTGCTGCTGTTTTTCTCATCAGTTCTTTCCAATCACAGAATACAATGATGTGGAGTTAGCATAAATTACTGATGATTTGTTTTTGCAGACAAGGCGCAGCTGCTTTGTTTTGTTGTTTTTCATCTGGGCATGAGGGAAACCCTGTGGAAGCAGAGGCCTAGTAAAGCAGTCTCTTTTCTTCCATCTTCCTATTAAATGACTGTTGTGGGTGATCACTCTCTACTTTGGATCATTATTTTACTGCTTCTCAAGCACAGGGGAAGTTCTGCGTCTTTATCTCTTTGTTAAATTCAAATATTAGATTAGACTCCAAGACACAATAAAGATACATATCTTGGAATTAGTTTTCTTTCAGATGCTGCCTCCCAAATCTTAAAAATCTAGCAATAATTATGAGGAACTTA